TGTAGATGAATTTTCTACTAAAATTAAAAATATGGATATGCATCAATAATGATAATCAAATAAAACGATGAAGAAAAAATGGTAGCACAAAGAATGAAAAAGATTATGGGTGAGAGAAATGTAATTGTTTAAAGATTCATTTAGTGTGCGAGAGTTCGCCCTAGCAGAAGATTTCTCCCAGACCCGGAGTTCGAGGTAGCTGCCGCCGTCGATCTAAGATGAGTTTCATTCACCGACGACAATCCTCCTCCTGGAAGTCACAACGCCATCCTTCTCGGGTTCGTCCATGCCTCACCGAAGAACCTATCTCATCCTCCGTTGGCTACTATCGTCGCCGGCGAGAACCATTCCGCCGTGTTTGCTCTGGTTTGGTAACTTCTAACCTCCGCTATCTCTGCTTCTCCATGACTACAGGCGAGACAGTACGAATCTCTTTTACCCTCCGGCGTTTGTGTCCTTCACAATCGGCGGTAAGACTCTCTCACCGTAGGTTGTTTCCTCCCCTGCTTAACACCCTTCACCCATCGAACCCTCCGGTACCTCCCGACCCGCCAGATTTTTGTAACGGAAAAGATCTCGACTCTTATCATATTCCGGTCACGGTCTCGGTCAAATTTTTCACATCTTCCCGGCGAGATAAATCCTTGGATCCACCAGCACCACCGTCCATAATAGGCTGGGTCGTACTTCCGACGACCGCGGCACTGTATCCTGATTTCCTTAGTAAACTGCGACACCGTCATATCCATCCTAGCCGGCGTCAAGATTTGCAAACCTCTTGGAAAGGCACTTGTGTGCAATCTGGGCTTGGCCCATCACGTGGATTCCATGGGCCCAAAGAAGAAAAATGGAAGTGAAGGCCATATCACTTACCAATATCCGGTCAGGTTCTAGTTTCTTCTGGATTTTGATTATTGTATTAAACACAATGTTGGCTTTACCATGGATGTGTTTTAAGCTCGATACCTTCTCTGTTGTGAGTAGGTCAAAGTTTTCTGGATTCCCAAATCCTGCAACTTCCTCCTTTTTGGAGAGAACTCGATCACCTTTCCTTCTCCTGGTGAGAGTAAGGTTCGTCTCGGATTTAACTCCGATCAATTCTCTAACCGTCATGAGGAAACTCGGAGGTATGGGTAGTCTTCCAAAGTCACGATTCACAGTGACTAAACCACCAGTTTCTGGCTTAGCCGTAAAGACGATCTTGATGCATTTGAGGCCTTCCTCGGATCCGCTGTCCATCCTTCGCGATGATTTATCTGCTTTAATTTTTATTGCGTTTAATTTATGTTGTGGAAATCTAAGAGGATGTTTAATTCCCTCTTCTTGTATGATGCAAGTTTAAGTTAATGAAGAAGTGTTGAACAAAAAGAAAAGAAATGTAATTGTTTTTTATTTTATTTTTAATTCTTTGAATTAAGGGTGAATTAACCCAATAACTATATTGGGGCATGAAACAAAGAATATAGCTATGCTTTTACAGTAACTAGAATATGACCCGCGAATTCACGCGACATTTTGTTATACA